CCTGGCGTGAGTTTTAAGCCACCAGGTCTGGGATGCGAACCGCGGTCGACTACATGGGAGTCCAGCAACATAGCCATTACGCTAACTGCTGGTCCCAGTGGACCCAGCCATCTTGACCATTGTGCCTCCTGGCTGGCCCTCAGCAGTTTTATAGAGACATGAAGAAAACACAGGTGCCAATCAAGGTCCATCTGGGCATTTCTGAAATTTCCAGCAGCTGGTGGCAAATGGGAAAGGCCCCCCAGGCTCGAAAGGACCTTGTCCAGTGCCGGGTATCCAGTCCCCTTTCCCTCTGGTTTGATCGCTCAGTGGGACTGCTCAACTAATTTTGGGACCCCCAGAATTAGAGTAGTGAGTTTAAAGAGGGCTGTTCTGAAATTACAATATGCATATTTGAGAAATACTGGGACCAGCAGTTAGCGTAATGGCTATGTCGCTGGACTCCCATGTAGGAGACCACGGTTCAAGTCTCAGACCTGGTGGCTTAAACTCACGCCGGGCGCATGTGTGTGCGTGCCCAAGATCCCGAGAGGAGAATGGAGGAGAAGGGATTGTGGCGTGGCCATCTTCCTCGGGGGGGTGATTTCTCACTTTCTGTCTCTCTATCTCTCTCTGTCTTTTTGTTGAGCACACGTGCCCTATAGCAAAAACCTCTCAAAAAAAAAAAAAAAGATGAAAAGAAATATTTTCATGGTGATAGTAATTTTTCTGAGTTCCGAAACTCTCATGATCAATTGCTCATAAGTCAGGGTGTGGGGTGCTGAGCAGACCAGCGCCCTGGCCGTGCGAGTTTGCACAGCAGTGGCTGGGGTACGTGGAGACCTTCACGGTCCTCAGGGAGGAGCAGCCTGTGCCCGCCGGGGACAGTGGGGGACAAAGTACTGCTGATCAATTTTGCTTAGGAGGCACCAGGGGGTGTCTCTCGGGAGACGCACTGTTTTTCCCCATCCCTTCTGGGGTGAGGTCTGGAGGTGAAGTGGGGTGTTGGGCTTTCTGATCTTTAAGGCATCGGTGAGAATGCAGGGGAATGGGATTCTGGGGCACTCAGGCTGTGGTCTCCCTGCGGAAAGGCTTGCAGTGGAAGTCCCAGTCCACCAGGTGGCGCAAAGCCCCTCTGGCGTTAGCGTTGGCGACGCGCGATCTGCAAGTGCCTGTCTACGCCTGCCGTCTGCTGGGAGGTGGGCAGAGTTCTCCAGCTCAGGTCCGCTCTGTAAGAGGACATCCAGGTCCCGCTCTGACTCCTCCGGCGACGGCCCAGTGACGGCCCAGCGGGTAGAATCATGAGCAGGCTCCGGGGAGAATGGAGGGGGCACCAAAAAGCCACCCATCCAATGACAGTGCCGCCCTCCGTCTCCCAACCCCAGTCCCCTGGTTTCTACATTTGTATCTTAACAATTCTCTTTGTTGGGCATAACTTAGTATCTTCTTATTACCACCTTATCCTCCAGTAGTTGGTCAAGCCTCTGAGCAGGGGCCTGGGTGAAACCTTTTCTAAGTCTAGGACACATGCCAGGGGCATGTCAAAAGCCCCTCTACCTTCTTCTCACACATGCAGTCCCTGATAGAAACCGAAAGGCCTAAGGACAGGTCTAGTGAAGTCAGTCTTCCGGGCCTTTACCCACATCAGTGAAAATGAATGCCATCTTTGGCTCTTCTTGCTATTTAAATTGTTGAGAAATTTCAAATGAAATAACGTATTTATTTACTCACTAGTTTGTGTAAAATGTTTACTGAGCACCTAATGCTAGGTGCTGGTTTTAGATCCTTACGGGGTCCGTGAGAATGCAGGGGAAATGGGATTCTGAGGACACTCAGGCTGTGGCCTCTCTTCATGGAAAGTCTTGCAGTTCAAACCCAAGCCCACCAGGTGGCGCAAACGCCTCTCTTTTGCGTTAGCGTTGGTCATGCTGGTCACGGTTTCATAAGGCGGAGAATACAGCGGTGCCCAAGACAGGTAAGTAAGCCAATAAATAGCACGGAAGGAAATAAAACGAAACGATGTAATGTAAATACGTGAAAGAAAACAAAATGGAGCCCAGCGAGAGGGGTCAGTGTGAAATTGAGCTTCAGGTGTAAGTCAGGCACACGGAGAGGCGATCATCTTCAGCTCTGTCATTTCTCCCCTGTGGTCAGTGTGTCCCCTTTCTTTTTTCATTTCTTTTTCTTCTTTTTTAAAAAAATTTTGAGAGTTTTTTGCTATAGGGCGTGTGCACTTGCCAGGGAGACAGAGTGGGTGGCCACGCTGCAAGTCCTTCTTCTTTCTCGTCTGGGGATCTTGGGCACGCACGCACACGCACCTGGCGTGAGTTTAAGCCACTGGGTCCAGGACTTGAACTGCGGTCGGCTACATGGGAGTCCAGCGACATAGCCATTACGCCAACTGCTGGTCCCCGTCTGTCCCCTTTCTGTGTGGCCTGTGGTTCCCAGCAGGGAAGATGGACCCTGTGCACCGAATGCGATCCTGGTGAAACCATAAGGACAGGACGGCTGGGAGGAGGCCAGCGGGCCCCGCCTCTTTCTTCCCCCCCCCCCCCCCCCCGGGGAGCCACAAGATAAGCCCACTGGGTCAGAGAGTCTCGGGGAGACCCCGACTCTCCAGGCCAGGCCCGTCTCCAGGAAGCACCAGGGGCAATGCTCTGTGATGCTGGACCCCAGGGGAAGGTCCTGGGTTCGTGTCCTGGGGCCTCTTTGCACACAGGGCAAGCACACCCATGATTCTGGTTGGCCGAGGCTGGGGGTGGATGGCGGCATGAAGACCCTGTTGAGGTGTCTGTTTCTGTTTCTCTTTCTCTGTCATGGAAAATAAATACATAAATAAATACATTAAAAGAAAAAAAAAGAGGAAGTACTGATTATTGTCAGAAGCATTCTCACCGGAAAGCCCCAGAGCTCTATAAATGGCTCTTGAAATCCCAGCAATTCTGAGCTGGAAGAGGTTTGCCCTCAGTCATGTGATCACACTCCAGCCAGTGAGGGCTCACCATCGGTGTAGGAACCGGGCCCTATCAGAGTCTCAGGGGGTGGTGGCCATGGCCATGGCGTGGGACTCTCCTGAGGCCCGTCCCTCCCACCAGCTGCTAGGAGTACCTGCGAACTGACCCAGTTCCAGGTGTGAGGCACTGAGCTCAGCCACGTCAAGGACCCCAGGGCCTGCTTCCCGGCTTCCTTCCAGCGCGGACTGGAGGCTGGCTCCAGCCCTCTCCAAACTAAAATGATCTCAATCCAGGACAGTATGTCTTCCTGGCTGGCCAGGCTGAAAGTCAGCAAGTCGGGTCTTGATTGGCCACAAAAAGAGAAAGGGGCCCTGACAAAGATCTGACCTAGAGTAAAATGACAGAGAAAAAAGCTCGGCCACTCCACTGTATCTTTGTTTTCACCAAGTGGAAGTTCCTTTCTGATAAAGCCATCCACAGCCTTTCTATGGAGGGAGGCAGCCCAGATCATGGTCCTCCCCTGAGGACACCGGCCCCCAGGTCTGCCCCCTGCGGCGGGCACCGTGCAGGCACTGCTAACTGGAGCCTCGGGGCTCGCGGTAGACACCTGTTTCTCAGGCAGAAGGTTTGGTTGGTGAGGCGGGGAGGTCCTCTCCTAGATGTCATCTGGGGACCCAGGCTGACGGAGGTTCTTCTAACTTCTTCATGCAGCCTTCGTGTGTGTCAGGGGGCCGACATCCTGCAGGGAGGTGGTGGGGAGAGAGCACCGGGGTGGGGTGGGATGGGGGATCAGGTGGGTGTTGGGGACTAGGCCTTGGGGGAGCATCTGCCATTTCTACTCACATTCATCGCTAGAACTCGGAGAACTCGGCCGGGCTTCCTTGCTCCTCCGCAAGGCCTTCTCCCCTTATTTAACTCTGTGGCGGCTCCTTCCTGCTCTGTGCCCCGAGGCTGCGCTGATCAGCCAAGGCCTTCCCCAGCCCCTCCTGCCGGCTCCCCTTGCTCTCAGTTCCTCTACGAAAGGCCACAGTTTCCGTCCCCTGCCCTCCTGCCCTCCGTATGGTCACTCTCTCCAGTGGGCCACTGCTCCTGGCCTGACTCTGCAGGCTCCAGAGTGGTAACCCAGTCCTGCCAGTCCCAGGAAACCCGCGTCCCTTCTCCGCTTCCCCTACATCCTGCGGGAACCCTTAGTAGTGACGGCGTGAACGCGCCCCCTGCTTCCTGCCGTGACCCTGGTGCTCGTGGGCACGCTAGATGCCGGGGCCTGAAGACAGCAGCCGGCCTGGGCAGCTGTGTCCTGCTGTTGGCTGGACGGCCCCACCCAGCCGCCCTCCTCTGCCTTCAAGGGCCACTCGTGTGACCTTAGGCAATGGTCTTCCCTGGATGCAGTTTCTCCATCTGCAAAATAATCGAGAAACTGTTCAAGGATTAGGTGGTGATAATAAGAAAAGGTAGTAAGTTACTCCAAACAAAGGGACTTGGGAAGAGAGAGCATTTAGAAGCCAGTGGACTGCGGTTGGAGAGGGAGGGCTGCACTGTCGCTGGATGGGTGGCCTCGCGGTGCCCTTCAGTTCTCCCGGAGCCTGCTCAGAATTCTAATCCGCTGGGCCATCCCTGAGCGGTCAGGGCGGGGCCTGGATGTCGGCAGGGAGCGGGCCTGAGCTGGAGAACCGCCTGCCTGCAGCAGAAGGCAGGCGCGTCGCGGATCTTTCCCAGCTCCGCGTCCTCACATCTCCATGCTGAGTTCCAGCCCTTTGAGGCCTCTGTGCGTTGTGGTTAGTTCTTTGATAAGTCAGCCTATGATTATTATTATTATTGCAATTTCCTTCTTTTATGACTGAGAACAACACAGAGAGAGAGAGAGAGAGAGAGAGAGAGAGAGAGAGACAAAGACAATACCCCAGCCTCCGTCCTGGGTATGCCGGTGTGCTCAGGGAGGGCGAACATGAGGCACGTGGGCCGGCCTCCCAGAGCGATGACCACGGCGCCATCATTGGCCCTGCGATGACGTGTTAATGGGCCATAATGAAGTCCCTCAAATTCCTCTCTGAGGCACACCTACACTGGAAACAGAATATTTTTTTAAAAATTTATTTATTTACATTCATTCACTATACATCATTACAGCATACAAAATGAGATTTTCCATCCAGAATACACTGTATATTGGCTCAATCAAGCACATCAACATACGTGTTATCCACAAATAATTTTCCATTTCTTATCTCCTATATATTTTGCTTTTTTTGGGGGGTCATCCTTGACCCCCTATCCCTCACCCTTTGCCGTGTCCTACCCTCCTCCCACATTGTCTCTGGTATCCATGGTTGCTTTCTAAGCCTCCCTCCCCCCCTCCATTTAATTGATTCTCTAATGAACTTAATTAGTCTAAATATTTCCTATAGCAAGCGCAGCTGATATATACCTATACATGAACCCAAGTCTGACTTTAGGCATAAACCTCAGTGAGTAGGATGAATATACTATAAAGTAGCACCTGGCTGGGGCTATATAGCTTACTGCAGTCATCAAATACTCATTTTTAATAAATTTCAATAAAAACAGTTTTCTTTTTTTTCTCCTGAAACTTTTTAAAAAATTAATTAATTTATATTCATCCCCTAAGCATCATCACAACATACAAATGTGGTTTCCCATCTAGAATAAACTGCATAGTGGCTTAATCATGCATGTTATCATCAATAATTTT